CTGGCCGTCTCCCTGCCCTTCCTTCCCCAGCAGACACTTGCCGAGCCTCAGTGGTTCCCACCTCCAGGGCTTTGCTCCTGCAGGGCCTCAGCCTGGGCTTCTCTCCCTGCTTCAGCCTCAACCCTCCTGTGCCTGAAGGTCATGATGGGATGCTCCCGGGCTCTTGGGGTGAAATGGTCCCTCCTAAGGTCTCCCAGAGACCTGGCTTCTTGACAATGCTGGGACCACAGTCTGCTTAACAAACACCAGGCTCCCGAGGCTGAGGACTAGAGGCAAGGGGAGGGCGCAGGGTAGGACTCTGCCATGCTGCATCCCAGAGCTGAGTGTATGCCCCTCCCAGGCTGCACAGTGGGGCCAGGGGCCAGGGCTGTGCCTGGTGTATGTCTCTGTCCTAGGATGGTGGAGGGGACCATGCCCAGGAACAGCGCACAGCAGAGGCCCAGAAAGTGTGCTGAGAATTAACGGAATAGCACACTTCTGTCAGGAGAGGAGGGTCCACAGCCAGGAGCCCACCCCGGCAGACCCCCTTCCCAACCTAGAGCACCTCTGCCTGGCCACTTGGGGCCTCTGCAGGGACCTGGAAGACCCCCTTCTCAGTGCTGGGCATCCCAGAGCAGCTGTGTGGGGGGTGGTGACGAGGGACCCTGCAGGGGAGAGAGGTGACCCCCTCCTGTTCCTCTTGTCAGAAACTGTCCCGATGCAGACGCTTCGCTGCTACAATGACTACACCAGCCACATCACCTGTAGGTGGGCGGACACGCAGGACGCCCAGCGGCTCGTCAATGTGACCCTCATTCGCCGGGTGAATCAGTGAGTAACGCTGGGTGCAGGGTCCACAGGCAGGGGCTACAGTGTCCCCTGTGCCTGTTGTGGGACAGCGGTGTAGACAATGACAGGTCAGGTCAGCCTTGGGGTGGGAGCAGACAGAGGACAGAGGAACCTGTCCTGCCCCTCCAGGTGCCCGCCCAGGCCAGGTGTTGCCATCTGACATGGGATTTCTGGGAAGCGCCCTTGTATGCCGATGTTGTTGATAAGGATGGTGGTGACAGTAGTGACAATCTTCTCTTATTTCTTCCCAATTTAATGCAGTTGCCCCACATGACCTTACTGCCTCCTCACTGTGAGGTGGGCAGGGCCAGGCCACAATGCCCCAGCTGTGCCACCGCCTGCCTGTCCAGCATTGACCAGAGAGATGGCACTAGCCTGGGAGCTGCCCTGCGAGTTCAGAGATGGGGAAAATGAGGCCCCGGAGGTGAGGCACCAGCCCTGGCCACAGGATGGGCTGGCTGCTGCCCCTCTCACTTGAGCCCTCCTGGGCATGTGCCACATGGGAAGGGGACCAGCATCGCTCTGGGATGTTGGCCAGGGTCTAAATTAGCCTTAAATGAAATACTTAAACAGCTGGAACCAGAGAGGCAGGTGACAACCAATTGGCCCAGCTCTGCCACCCCCGACCCCTCCACCGTCTTCAGTTCCCTCGGGCGCCTACATCGGGCCTTCTCCATTCTACTCAAAGACCATCCTGCCCCTCCCTGTGATCTGCTTCCTGCTGCTGTGACACACCAGCGGACCACGAGAAGCTCCCCACCCACCCCACACTCACATTCACCACCCCCTCTGCCGACCGCTGGAGCCTGGGCCTGGTTCTGAGCTGGGGCTCCTGTCTGAGGCCTGAGCCGGGATCCTGTCTGGTCCTGCTGCTCAGGAACATCAGGGGCCCCAAGTCCCCACTCTGCCCTGTGCCACCCACCATGCCCCACCCCAGGATCCTTCCCAATCACCTTGCAAACCTGCCCTGACCCCCTCACAGATACACACAGGAGTATAGCACCCAGGCATCTCCTGACCCCAAAGCCCTGCAGCCCCCTTTTCTCTGCTTCCCTTGACAGTGGTGGCCCATAAAGACTTGTCCACACTCACCATGCCCAGTGTCTTTCCAGCCATTTCCTCCGGAGCCCATCCCCTAGGAGGCCGTCCCCACCAGGCCACCCAAACTGCCCTGGTCCAAGTCAGCACTGTCCCAGGGAGCATGATCTCATGGTCGGGCCTCTGCCCTCATCCTACTTGACCCAAGGGCGGCCCCTGACAAGGAGGACCACCTGGCCTCCTGCACCTGGCCCTGCCCACAGCTCACCCAGCACCCCCAGGGCCCTGCCCATCCTCCTCTTTCTCCTTGTCTGCTGCCTCTTGGTTCTCTTGGCTGCCAAGGATGAGACACCCCAGAGCAGGTCCATGGACCTCCTCTCTGCCACATCCACCCTACAGAGACCCCCTGAGGCCACAGGGGCATCTCTCAAAGGTGACCTTGAGCCCGTACCTCCCCTAAGCTCCAGCCCTCCAGGTGCACTGGCCTCTCCACCGTCACTTAGGCAACAGGCAACACCAGCTCCAAACATCCTCAGCCAAAGTCCCGCCCTCACCCAAGGCTCTTGTGCCACCATTCCTTCCTGACTGCAGCATCTGATCCACCAGCAAACACCACCAACCTTATCTCAAACAGAACTTGAACCTCACCCATGCTGGCCCCACTGCCCTGGTGCACACCACTTCCTGTCATCTGGATATTCCAGAAGCCTCCTAACTGGGCTCCCTGCTTCCCACATGGCCACACTCCCACCTTGATCTATTCACAGCCAATGACCCTCAGGAATTTCTTCAAAGCATACATCAACATCTACAACGTCTTGCCCATAACTGTTTCCCACTCACTCACAGTGAGATACAATCCTGTCCCCTCGACCTCCCTGTCCCATGCTCTACTCCTCACACACTGGTTTCAGGCCAAGCCATGCAACACATAAACTCTGCTTGCCCCAGGGCCTTAGCACGTGCTGTTCTAGTTCCTGAAATCCTCACGATTTGCATAGTCCCTCCCTCATCGCCTTAGCATTTTGCCCACAGGTCACCTCCTGAGAGAGGCCTGCTTGTCCCATATTTCAAATTGCATCCTCATCCCAGCCCTTCCTCCTGCCTCACCTGCTTCTTGCTTTTTTATCCACATGAAGTTCTCTCTACTGCACATGCTAAACACTTTGTTCCATGCGGGTCCCCTTCTCCAGGGATGGCAGCTCCATGGGCGGGATTTGTATGTGTTCTGTCTCTGCCTGGCTCCTGATTCTGGACAGAGCCAGGCACGTGGGGAGCACTAACGAATCTTTGATGAGTGAGCAATCTCCATGTACCCTGGGCTAAGCCGTGTCCTCTCCCAGCAGGGACCCTCCGGAGCCAGTGTCCTGCGACCTCAGCGATGACATGCCCTGGTCAGCCTGCCTGCATCCCCACTGTGTGCCCAGGATATGTGTCATTCCCTACCGGAGTTTTGTCAGCTCTGACACTGACCGCTTCTCATTCGAACCAGACAGGCCTCTGGGCACCCGGCTCACCGTCGCTCTGACCCAGCATGGTGAGTGGCTGGGGGCCCTGCCCTGGGCTTGGTTTCCTGTGTGGATGGGGGGTATCAGGGTTGGCCAGGGTAGTCTTGAAGGTAGGAGACTATGGCTTGGGGTTGGGTGAGGGTCTCTTGAGGGATGAAGGTATGGTCTGCTTACAGGGAGGCATCAGAACAGGGACTGTGTGAGGGGCTCCTGGCAAAGGCAGCTCCCCTGCCCCTGGCTACTCCCACCTCCCACCAAGCCATGGGCTTCCAGCTCTGCAGGCTGCCCTTAAAGAAAACCCCTCTAGCCACGCAGTTAGAAACTACCTGGTTCAAAACTCTTTCAGCTTAGTTGTTTCATCTCATTTCTACAGCAACCCATTTCCTGGATGTGGCCCTTGAGGCCCAGGAGGTCAGATGCCTCCTCTGAAGTCCACACTGAGCAGTAATGACAGAGATGGGTCAGCCTTGCAGGGGGCGCCCTGCCCTGTAGACAGGGAGCTCATGTCCTTACTGCCCTAGAGGAGGGGCCCCAGGGTGGGCTCACAGCCTACAGTGCCCGTGAAGCTGTCCATTGTCTAGGAAGGGGTGGATGATGATTTTACGTCTTGGGGTTTTATTTGACTCTGTATTAGAAAGGAAAAGAATGTGCACTTCAAAGTCCTGGATTCAAGGAATCGGTTGCTTAGAATGAAGCTACACGTGGAAGGGGAGGTGTTTTATGAAAGTTTTCGTTGATGTGGCAAAAGCCCACCCCAGTGGCAGGCTGGTGGGAGGCCCTGCAGGCTGTCACTAGAGACACACGCAGAGCCACAGCAGGCTTGGTGCTGTTACTGGTGTCTGCGGCTGCTGCTGAAGTGAACGGAGGAGGTGACTAGTCCAGGGCCTCTCTGCTGCTGCTGGCAGAACTGAGATCCGGCCCAGGACAGTCCGAGTCCCCAGTCCTAACCACTGGGCCACTTGGTTCTCTTGGCAAGGGTCACACTGGAGGAGCTCTGGCCAAGGCTTCCTGCCCCTTTCTGCCACAGCATCATAAAGCTGCTTCCAGAGCAGGGCATGGGTTGGACCATCAGGAATCCATCTATAGCAATATTTCCACACATGGGTTTGATGAATATGAGAGTCCCTTCCTTCCCAAGTAGAGCTCAGAGAGCCCAGGCTGGAGGGAGGGGAAGCATTGGATATTGTCCCCCGTGAGAACTCATTGATGGCAACAGGTGGGTGCCTCATGCAGGGGGCAAAGAGCAAGGCCCCCAGGAGATCAGGACAGGCTTCCCAGAGGGAGGAACTTTGCACCTCAGATCTGAAGGGTAGACAGGAGGGGAGGTGGGAAGAGTCTCCCTGACAGGGTAAGAGCTATGCAGAGGCTGGGGGATCGGGAGGGCATGGGTGGCTGGGGAACCTGCCCACCACTGTGTCCAGGGAGCATTCGCTTCAAGGGTTAGACAGCAGTGGGGAGAAGCAGGAGACACAGGCAGGGGCTGGCCCTGGAGAGAGGGGAGAGGGGAGACGGCATGTGTCCTCTAGGCATGGAGAGCACTGAGGGAGTGACATGATTGGATGTGGGGGTTCGAATGCTGGGGACAGGGACTTACAGGGTAGATTGGAGGAGCAGGAGTTAGGGAAGATGTTGAAGCCCAGAATGTGACCTAAACACTCATCCTTAGAAATGACGAGGCCACACTGGCCAGGGGACGGGAACGTGGGGGCATGGGAATCCTACTTACCATATACACATGGTTCATTCTTTCAACCTTCTTTCCTTGAGCATCTCCATATACCAACAAAGCGGTCAACACACTGCTCAGCAACCCTGACCTTGGAGATGGCAGCCTGGAAATCAGGAAGGCTTCTGGGGCGACGCAGTGGGAGGCATGGCTTTCCACGGCTTTCCACGGCTTTCCACGGCTTTCCACCGCTTTCCACGGCTTTCCACCGCTTTCCACGGCTTTCCACGGCTTTCCACGGCTTTCCACGGCTTTCCAAGGCTTTCCATGGCTTTCACATTTAAACCCTACAGTTTTGCAACTGAAGGGCTGAGGCCCGCAGAGGAGATGGGTCTTGCTCAAGGTCCCTCACCTGATGGGGCAGGGGTGGCCTGGAACCCCCTGTGTCCACACAAAAGGCCATGCAGGCCCTGACTGCCCCAGCGATCCAGCCTTAGGTGCCATTCACTTCTTCCCTCTAGTCCAGCCTCCTGCGCCCAAGGACCTGCAGATCAGCACCCACCAGGACCACTTCCTGCTGACCTGGAGTGTGGCCCTGGGGGTTCCCCAGAGCCAGTGGCTGTCCCAGGGGGACCTGGAGTTTGAGGTGGTCTATAAGCGGCTCCAGGACTCTTGGGAGGTAGGAACCACAGCCAGCGCTGCCCCAGCCCAAAGGGAAGGGATAGCACCCTCCTCCAGCTTCCACTGTCTCCAACAGGATGCAGCCAGCCTCCTCTCCAATGCGTCCCAGGCCACCCTGGGGCCGGAGCACCTCATGCCCAGCAGCACCTACGTGGCCCGAGTGCGGACCCGCCTGGCTTCAGGTTCTCGGCTCTCAGGACGTCCCAGCAAGTGGAGCCAAGAGTTTTACTGGAACTCCCAGCCAGGTAATGGAGCCAGAGCCCAGGAAGTGCCCCATGGTGGAAGGGTGGGCTCGTCAGGAGCTCCTGGCACAGCACGGGTCCTGAGCTCCACATGGGGGCTTCCCAGATCTCCTGCTGCTGCTTTTCCAGTAGCGTCCCTGGGCCGTCCCACCTCTACTGTGACCGCTGCCTGGTAGGACTCTGCATCTGTTCACTTTGGGCTTCCAGTTTTCTGCACGCCCTTTGCCAATGGCAATTGCAATAATAACAGCAGCGCTATTAGCAGCTGTGTGTTAACGGAGGCTACAGGATGTGCAGGGCTTACCCAGGTTATTCTGCTCAATCCCCAAACACTGAAACTTAGATGCTATTTCCATTCTCCCGGGAGGGTGCGCAGTGCACAGATCTCTCTCTCTCAGAGCCGTTGGGCACACAGCTGGCAGGTTCAGGCTGAAGTTTCGGCCCTGGTCTTTTGGCCTCAGAGCCCGTGACCTCTGGGTGATGAATCACATGGTGGGCACCCACTGAGAGCTGTGGGAGGGTGGAGAGGGGAGTGCATGAGGACCTGTCTCCCTCCCAGGGGACGAGGCCCAGCCCCAGAACCTGCAGTGCTTCTTCGACGGGGCTGCCGTGCTCAGCTGCTCCTGGGAGGTGAGGTGGGAGGTGGTCAGCTCCGTCTCATTTGGCCTCTTCTACAAGCCCAGCCCAGATGCAGGGTGAGCATCTCTTTTCTCTGTCCCTCTCCTCCTCTTGGCCTTGCTCTCTCCAGGTTTCCTCCTGTCCCTGGGGCCCCAGCCTACCCCAAACTCTCCTCCCTCCTTTGGGCCCTCCCTCCCCCTTCCCTCAGCTCTGCCATGCTCCTCAGGGAGAAAGAGTGCTCCCCAGTGCTGAGGGAGGAGTTCAGCAGCCTCCACATCAGACACCACTGTGGGATTCCTGTGCCCGACCCCAGCACCCACGGCCAGTACATCGTCTCCGTTCAGCCAAGGAAGGCAGAGAAATACATAAAGAGCTCAGAGCACAGTGAGTTTACTCCCAGCCCTCTGTGGGGATGGTCTGGGACCAGCACACCCTCATTGTGTAACCCGAGTCAGCTCAGGGCTCCTCCTGGCCCAGTCTTCGTGTTTGTCACTTTCGAAGAGATGCAGTCCAGGGACCACAAGTGAACAGAGAAGCAATGAAACGACAATGCAGAGGCTGACAGCAGGAGCAGGCCTTTGAAACCTCGGGCCTCTTGTCCATTTTCCTGCTTCCCTCTCCTACCCTGCAGCTCCCCAAAGCTCCATTGCTGGCCGCTCCCCCTCCCCGGGTCCTGCCACCAAAACCTGCCCTTTCATTCCGCATCGGATTTTCCTGATTTCTGAAGGTCCCCCCCGACTGATGCTGTATCTTCAATGTAATTGATCTAGGATGTACTTTTCAACTGGGGGCTGTGGTGTATAGCAGACAGCGTTGAGCCTTCCAGGTTAATGTCCCTCATTTCTGTGACATAACGAGGACCCCAGTGCAATGGAACCTCCCGCGTTGCTTCCTGATGACCGGGTTCTTTCGTGCAGGCTTCATGTGAAGCGCAGAGGCCAATTTGTCTTAATTACCTGGGTTTGAATTTATTATTAGCTCTCTTGGGATCCTCACTGGAAAAAGGAATTCTGATTGTTCAAATGCACAAATATATTAAGGGTCTCATATGATGCCTGGCACCTAAGTGACCTCGACAAATTACGGGCATTCGTATTATGTTTATACTGTGAAGGCATCTAGGTTATAAGCATTCTTTTTCTTTTGGGTAGACTGAAGCTCAGAGAGGTTGAGTGACTTACTTAAAGTTGCACAGCTATGAGTAGGCAGATCAAGATTAGAGTTCAGAACTTCCGACTCCATGCCCAATTTCTGCTTTCTTAACCCTTCACCTCTTTCAATGGGTCTGCCAGCCAGGGGGGAGGCGCGAAGGGCTTCCCCTTTCTCATTGGCCGCTTTCTAGTGGGTCTCATCTAGATGTTGTTGAAGGCCTGCTGTATCGGGGACTTTCTGGTGGTGAGAACGCGTGCGATCCGGTCCTAGCCTTTAGCCAAATCCCTACACCTCTGGGAGTGTCAAACAACAGAGTCCATCACACTGGGGGTGGGGGTGTGTGGCAATCTTTGTCTTTGCCACTGCTTAGCTGCCTTTCCTTAGGGCAAGTTACTTAATGGTTCTGTGACTCAGTTTCCCTGTCTGTGAAATGTGAAGGTTTTTTTTTTTTGTTTTGAGACGGAGTTTCGCTCTTGTTACCCAGGCTGGAGTGCAATGGCACGATCTCGGCTCACCGCAACCTCCGCCTCCTGGGTTCAGGCAATTCTCCTGCCTCAGCCTCCTGAGTAGCTGGGATTACAGGCACGCGCCACCATGCCCAGCTAATTTTTTGTATTTTTAGTAGAGACGGGGTTTCACCAAGTTGACCAGGATGGTCTCGATCTCTTGACCTTGTGATCCACCCGCCTCGGCCTCCCAAAGTGCTGGGATTACAGGCTTGAGCCACCGTGCCCGGCCTGAAATGTGAAGATTAATAGTACCTGCCATATAGGGTTGTTAGAATTGAGCATCATAATTCTTGTCAAATAAGCACGTGTAACAGCGCCTAAAACATAATCAGGCTGGGCGCTGTGGCTCACACCTGTAATCCCAGCACTTTGGGAGTCCAAGGCGGGTGATCACATGAGGTCAGGCGTTCAAGACCAGTCAGCCAACACGGCAAAACCCCGTCTCTACTGAAAACACAAAAATTAGCTGGGTGTGGGTGTCAGGAGCCTGTAATCCCAGCTTCTCAGGAGGCCGAGGCTGCAGAATCTCGAGCCCACGAGGCAGAGGTTGCAGTGAATTGAGATCGCACCACTGCACTCCAGCCTGGGTGACAGAGCGAGATTCCATCTCAAAAAAAAAAAAAAAAAAAGAAGTCAGTTGTCTAGAGTAGAACCACCTAATAGTGGTTTTATTTTTTACTGCGAAAAAAGTAGGAATAATGAAAGCATTGAGCCACGTCACTACAGAACAAGTGAGTCTCAGCATCTCCCAAGAGAAGACCACTCAGGTCAAAACATGGTTAAGTGAAGTGGGGATGAAAAAGATCCAACCATGGGCAGAACCGGGGTCTTGTGCCAGTGGAGACAGCCCCACTGTCTAGCATGAGACATAGGGAATGTTCCATTGGCGGGGGGAGGGGGTGATGATGCTCCTGACAGTTTCCCTCCCTCCAGTCCAGATGGCCCCTCCATCCCTCACCGTGAGCAAGAATGGAGACAGCTACAGCCTGCACTGGAAAGCAATGAAAATGCAATACGAGCACATAGACCACACATTCGAGATCCAGTACAGGAAAAACTCGACCACGTGGGAGGTGAGGGCCTTTACCCAGGGAGGGGAGAAACGCTGGGTGGGCAGGATAGGGGGAAGTAAACAAGAGGGTTCCATCTGCAAGGCACTGGGCCTTTGGCAGGTGACCAGTGAGAGGGAGCCATTGGGACATGGTGATCACTGGGCTGTGTGGTCAGCAGGTCATTGTCCCATCTCTTGGTGAAGTAGCCAAGGTTCGGGAAAGTGGCATGGCTTGGCCAAAATGAACAGCTGAACCTGAGTTCCCAGGGAACAGGGGACCCTCTGGGCAGGGAGGGGTTGAAAGGCCACTGGGAAGAAGGTTTTCAAAAGTCATGAAATCCTGGGGGTATTTCTTCAGAGGAGTCTCATCTAGACACACACTGAGGCTCAGACAGAGCTGCTTCTGAGTTGGCAGCAGGGGTTGGGGGGCCAGGCCAGGGCTCAGTCCCCTGCCTCCACAGAGGCCAGAGAAGAAACCACAGAACCAACCCCAGACCTTCAGGCTAGAAATGGAGCGACTGAGGCCAGGAGGGCGGTGGGCCAGTGGTGGGGCTGGGAGTGGGCTCTGGGCTCCTGAATCCCCATCTCGGGTTCCAGAGTCCAGTCGGCCTGCACTGCATTCCTGGGAAGGCCACAGTGTGGGTGCAGGCTGCCCCAGAAGGGCTGGGAGCTGAGGAGGCTTAAAATAGGGTGGGGAGGTGGCTTCAGGGCTCTGGGTCTCAGTGCTGTCAATGTCGGGGGCTGCAGAGTCCCTAGTCCCATCCACAGTGCTGTCCCTGGGTGGCCCTTGGGGAGGTTCCGTGGTGGTGAGAGAGAAGCCACAGCAGGCCTGGGCGTGGCAGGAGCCAGGAACCAGTAAAATTGGGGGTCCAGGTGAGAGGGATTTGCAGCCATGAGGGCCAGGTCTCACCCTCAGCACCAACCCACAGGACAGCAAGACCGAGACCCTCCCGAACGCCCACAGCATGACCCTGCCAGCCCTGGAGCCCTCCACCATGTACCGGGCCAGGGTGAGGGTCAAGACCTCCCGCAGCGGCTACAAGGGGATCTGGAGCCAGTGGAGTGAGGAGCGCTCCTGGGAAACTGAGTGGGGTAGGTGCAAGCTGGAGTCCACAGCTCCTGGGTGGGACCAGCTCATAGTTTCTCACTACCAGAAAATCCCCGGTGTAGCAGCTGTCGCAGGCCTGCCATGACTTGTAGGTGAGCGCTCTTCCCAATCAGATGGTGGCTAAAGAGGTAGGGAAGGCCTTTGCAGACCTCGCTGGCAGACCTGCACGATGAAAGAGGCAAAGGGAAAAGAAAGCAGAAACTGGGCCTGAAGTCAGACGTTTCCACCCACTCTTCACGAGACAGCGCAGCCAGGCAGAGGATGCAGACTATGTGGGTACAGAGATGCGGGGCTCCAGACCCCACCCCACTCAGCCCCCTTCCCTCCCTTGGGTCACTAGTCATTGGAAAGTGACACCTGGTGTGTAATACTGCAAGTGAGGACTTGAGGGAGCAGAGGAGAACAGATCTCACTATCACTCCACCTGTAAACTGGGTCTCAGGACTTTGTTAATATGGCCTTTGGTTTATTAGCTTTGGGGGCTACCAAGCTTTTGTGATTGCTCATGCCGATTTCCTGTTACCATGGAAGCAAGAGAATCTACAGCCGCAGGTGGGGTCTTTGGATTGGAAGGTTTTGCTGTGATTCCTTCATCTCCTCACCTCCCTGCAGTTGCTGCATGCACTTACCCCTCACCTTTCACCACAGTGGCCACCAGGGAACTCCTGTAGAACAACACAAGGCCACAGGATGGTTTCAGAGAGAGTGAGGATATAGGAGATACTGGGAGCAGCCCGAGTCCACAGCCAGACTTGGTAGCTGCAGGGGCCCAGGGAGAGGGCCCTAACCAAGCAGAAAGGAGGCTTGACCAATGGGCCCAAGGAAGGAGGAACAGGAGAGTCCTGGAGGAACCTGGCCTTCGAGAGGCTCAGGGCTGGGCAGCAAGAGGTACTGAGGCCTCTAGATGGGCCTTTGCACCTACTGGTGCCTCTGCCAGCATGTCTTTCCCCATCTCCACTTCTCTAGTCCTTCCTGATAACGAGGCCCAGCTACGATGCCACCTCCTTCACAAAGTCCCCTTTGATTGCCATGAACTATGGTTCTTGCCCTCCCCATAGCACCTCCTGTGACTGGAAAGGATCTGACCTTCCTGTGTGCTCCCAGCTCTTTGAACACTGTGGGGCTGCAGACCAGTGCCCTTCTCAGCATGGATCTGGCCTCTCTCCCCTAGTCCCCTGAGGCAGCAAGTTCCAGAGCCCTAGGCCTGCACAGAGCAGGGTCTTGGGGGATACTGTGCCAGCCCCCCTCCCTGCCCCGAGGTCCATTCCCCTCCCCGATGCTGATGCTGCTCTTCCTCCCTGGCTGCTGGAAGCGCTGCCTGTATGGGTGCTGCCGCTCATCGTGGTGCTCCTCACCCTCGCTGTGCTCGTGGCCCTCCGCTTCTGTGGCATCTATGGGTACAGGTGAGGGGACTCTGTGGGGCTGGAGTGGTAACCGAGACCCCAGAGGGCATCAGGGAATCCCACCCAGCTCCCTCCAAGCCCTACTCTGCCACCTACTTCCTGGGCCTCAATTTCCCCTCTGGGCATGAGCACGGGAGCAGCTGGTTCTGAGGTCTCTGATGACTGTCACCTCCCTGGTGTCTTCCAGGCTGAGCAGAAAGTGGGAGGAGAGGATCCCCAACCCCAGCAAGAGCCACCTGTTCCAGGTAGGAACTGGCTTCGAGGGGTGGGGTAGGAGGCTTCTCTGTTCTGCCTCTCCTGTCTCTGTCCCCACCTCCTCCATCCTTCCTGTGGGTTTTGGGTGGTCGGGAGGTAAGTGGACTGGAGAGGGGCTTTGGGAGCTCTGGGAGTGGGGTCAGCACTCGGAAATTCCTTCCCAGGGTTCCCTGGGCACCTGGAGTGCCCACGCCTGGCCCTGCCTGCCAGAGATCTGCATGAACCCCCATGAAGAGAACTGAGTGTAGGGACGCACAGGACAGGGTGGGCTCACAGAGGGGGTTCCTGCTACCAGGACAGATGGGGTGTCAGTAGGCAGAAGGGCTCCCCAAGGACAGATCACCTGGGCTGAGCTTTGAGGGTGCCAGTGGTGCCAGGTAGCAAAGGTTGCTCAGCCTCAGGGCATCTCGAGGGTGGACACAGAAACCCTTCAGGAAGGGAGCTGAGGAGGTGGGACAGAGATGGCTGAGATGACCATGGGGAGAACACCAGCATGTGGGTGGTGGGAGCCTTTGGTCAGGCAGCCAGGGCCAGGTTTGCTTGTGAAAGGCTCTCTTGGCTAGTATGGAGGAGAAATGGGGGTGAGCGTGGAGAAAGCAACACCCCAGGTTAGAAAAATCACAGGAACAGTGCCCTGTCCTCAGGTATCAGGGACCGCGGGGAAGTCCTAGTCCCTCTCTGGGCCTCACTTTGCCGATGTCAAAAGGCCATGGCCAGTCCTGAAGAAGTGGGGAATCTTCTCTTGTCTGGGGGCTCCTTGGATCCCCCTGCACCCCCATCACCTTCTGCCTTGCCCCACCTCCAGGCCTCCTGATGCCCACTGGCTGGAATGTCTCTGTTCTTGCAGAACGGGATTGCAGAGCGGTGGCCTCCAGGCAGCATGACGGCCTTCGCCAGCAGGAGCCCCCCAGAGCAGGGGCCGTGGGACAGCCACTTCTATGAGCTGGAGGGGTGAGTGTCTGGGCTCGAGGATCGCTCCTGACCTGTGGGGAGCGAATAAGGGGCTGATGCGATGGTGCCAATCAGGGACTCAAGTGAGGTTCCCTGTGGCTCACTGTGAAGAGATCCAAGGAGGCTGTTTTGCATTAAAGCAGGAGGCACCTGGGGTGGATGTGAGGAAGAACTTCCTCTCCCCAGGCTAGGGAGTCCCAGACAAGGGAATTGACCAGAGGTGGAAGAGGGGAGCAGATGGCCTTCCCCTGCTCTGCTGCCTTAGGAGGCATCACACTGCAGAGGCCTCGGGGTAGCAGGGGCTGCAAACTGCCGGGTCCTTAGCACCTGAGCCGGCAGCTCACTGGGGGGTGTGGCACCGTTGGTAGAATGATGGAAGGGTTGCCTAGCGCACAGGCTGGGCATGAATCTGGTACTGAAGGAGGATGGACTTTAAGGTCAAAAGGGAGAGAGCTTCAGCCTTGCAGAGGAAGATCTCGAGCTCAGCAAGGAGGATGGAGGTCCTGAGCCACAGAGAGCTGAACCCATGTCCCGTGTCCTTCTCTGGGGTCCCTGAGCCCTCAACCCTGCCCTGCTCAGGTTCTCACTGCAAGCTCTGGGGGACATCAGGGCTTCTAGAGAACTAGGCCTACCCCGCCAAGACCCTTGCACCTGAGCGAAATCATCCGCCCAGGGCGGTCCCAATTCTTCTGCCCATATTCTCCCCACAGGGTGTTCCTTGTAGGATTCAAGGACAGTGAGGTATCACCTCTCACCACAGAGGACCCCAAGCATGTCTGTGATCCACCATCTGGGCCTGACACGACTCCAGCTGCCTCAGACCTGCCCAAAGAGCAGCCCCCCAGCCCCCGGCCAGGTCCACCTGCCCTCTCCCACACGCCTGAGAACCAGGCTTCCAGCTTCGACTTCAACGGCCCCTACCTGGGGTCTCCCCAAAGTCATTCCCTGCCTGACAGCCTATGCCAGCTGGAGCCCCCACAGGCAGGTGGCAGCCAGAAGCCCCTGCCTCCAGGATCCCTGGAATATCTGTGTCTCCCTGCTGGGGGGCAGGTACAGCTGGTCCCGCTGGCCCAGTCGACGAGGCAGGGCCAGGCCGTGGACATGGAGAGGAGACCGAGCCAGGGGGCTGCGGGGAGCCCCTCCCTGGAGTCCAGGGGAGGCCCTGCCCCTCCTGCTTTTACCACAAGGGTGGGAAAACAGGACCCAGAGGACAGCCCTGTGGCTCTGCCCACGAGCTCTAAGGACCCTGAGGACCCTGGAGAGGCCTCTGGTTACGTCTCCTCTGCAGATCTGGTATTCCCCCCACAGTCAGGGGCCTCACCTGTCTCCCTGGTTCCCTCTCTGGGCCTCCCTGCAGACCAGACCCCCAGCTTCTGTCCTGAGCTGGCCGGTGGACACCCTGGAGCCCCAGGCCCTGTGAAGTCAGGGTTTGAGGGCTATGTGGAGCTCCCTCCAACTGAGGCCCAGTCCCCCAGGTCCCCACTGAACAATCTTGTCACCCCTGAGGCCAGCAGCCCTGTCCTGAACCCAGGGGCAGATGTATCCCCAACATCCCCACACTCCGAGGGCCTCCTTGTCCTGCAGCAGGTGGGCGAGTATTGCTTCCTCCCTGGCCTGGGGGCTGGCCCTGTCTCACCCCGGAGTAAGCCCACTTCCCCGGGATCCTGTCCCGAGATCAGGGACTCGGACCGGGCTTTGCAAGTCAAGAAGCCCCCGGACCAGGCCATGCCCCAGGTGCCTGTCATTCAGCTCTTCAAAGCCCTGAAGCAGCAGGACTACCTGTCGCTGCCCCCTTGGGAGGTCAGCAGGCCTGGGGAGGTGTGCTGAGACCCTCAGACCTTGACAGGCGAGGGGACCGAGAGGGCTTGCCTTCCCTCTCGTCCGGCCTTCCTCAGTCATTTCTGCAAGGTCAAGGGGCGGCCTCCTGTTGAGGTAGCTGGAGGCGTGGGAAAGGAGTCAGCTTTGCTCCGGCCCCCTTGACCTTCAGCAAATCACTTCTCTTCCTGCGCGCATGCGCGCGCGCACATATACACGCCCACATTTTTTCCTTGACATATTCCATCTCCCCTTCATTTTCTTTTTTATCAAGTTTCCTTGCATTTGCCATTTTTCTTCCTCCTGCCACTGATCTATTATGATAGTGAGGTTGAGGTCTGAGCTGAGCCTTGTCAGACTGAGACGCATCTGGTTGTGTTTAGGACTTGTGTGGGCTGCCTGTCCCCGGCAGGCACTGATGCACATGACATGAGTCTCAGATACGTGCAAAGGCGGGAGGTGCCAGGTGGGCACTGTGGGGGTTAGGGCTTGGAAGAGTGGCACAGGTCTGGGCACGCTCAGGGGCCTCAGGGAGTTCAGACTAGCCTCGATTGTCACTCCGATAAATGGGCATGAGAGGCTGTTTGGGAGCTTCTGGGGAGCCCTGCTGGTTGTCTCAGTGATGTCTGTGGGGCCTCCAGTCTCCTGAGACCCCATGTCATGTAGAGAAGTTAAGATCCAAGTGATGGGCAGGCTTGTGAGACCTGGAGAACATCGGGAGGGGAGTCCAGAACCCACATCTACTGCAGAAAAGTGCGGGAAAACTGCTAAACAAAGCAAAATTCTCCCAAAGGCATATACACTTTCAGGCTTTTAGTCCAAGTGGCCACTCTTTCAGACAGACCCTGTAACCCTCACTTCCACGGGCCACAGATGAGGGGCTGCTGGTCTATGCCTGGGCCTGCATCAATGATTATGGTTCTTTTAAATCTTTCCCTTTCGGATACATGAAGAATAGTGGCATTAAATTGCTTCAATTTGCATTATTTTAGTTATCCTGTTTGCACATATCTTTATAGGCATCTTAGGCATTGGTTAGTTTTTTTTTTTTTTTTTTTTTTTTTTGCCAATCAGTTTGAGCTTATGAGGTTGCTCAGGTTAGCCTTGAACTCATGACCTCGCCTTCACAAGCACCACGACCTCTGGAGGGAGCCACTTTGGCCCCCGGCATTGGTTAGTATTTTTAACTGGGCTAAGTCCATTAACAGTCTTTGTTCTGTTGGGCGCTATCCTTTCTCATTAAGTTTTCTCAGCTATTTACATATGGCCAGATGGTGGAGTCTTTTTCCCCCAAATCTGTGGGTTTGTCTTACAATGTTGTATGTGAGCCTTTTTGGTGTACAAATGTGAATGCTTCTGTGATGTCAAAGAGCTCCCTAGTAAACCCCTTCTTCACTTTTACTGCCAAATTTAGAAAGGTCTTCCCACTGCAAAGCAGCGTTTGTCTTAACTGATATATATTTTTCTAGTTCTTTTTGTGTTTCAAACTTATCATGTAAAATTTTAATTATTTTTGAATGGATGGATGTTAGAGATGCCTTCGGTATTTGTTGAAATTATTTTTCTATGTATCTAAAGTGTCACTTTTGTGATATAGGAAATCTTTGTATATACACTGTATCAATTCCTAGGCTTCCTATTTTGTTACCTTGTTCTCTCTATGGCATCCACCGTTTTGATTGTTGTAGCTTTATGATATGTTTTAATAAGTGGTAAAGCAACTGTTCCTGTTATTTTTGCTCTTAAATCCCTGTTCATTACAGCAATGTTGGTGGTCAAAGAAAATGATAAACAACTTAAATGTTCAATAATGCTGAAGTTCATAACATTTTACTACATCGTAAAGTAGAATCCTCTGTTCATAATGAACATAATGAATGTATTAGAAAGAAGTCTGAGATATTAATTCCAAAATATCCAGACATTGTTAAAGGGGAAAAGATTGCAATAAAATGTTTGTAATATAAACAAAGCAAAATCCTGAATTTGTGTGTGCATATATTATAAGTGATACATCTCTGATGACTGGAGGAACACCAGGGTCCTTAGTCTTGCACCGATAAAACAACATGGAAACACATGGAGTGGTTTTAAAGAGCAGAGTTTAACAGGCAAGAAAGAAGGAAGAAGCTCCTCTGTACAGAGACAGAGGGAGGGGGAACTCCAAAGTTGAGAGAAGAAACCCTGAGTGCCTTGGAAATCAGCCAGTTATATAAGGAGGCTGGAGGAGGCAGTATCTTATTTGCATAGGGCTCAGGGTACTGGTTTGACCAGGCATGTCATTCATGTAACTCCTGAAAAAACTGGCCCTTTCACCCTAGTTTTTTTAATATGCAAATGTACGGCACCATGATGTTCTACACACGTGGGGCTATGTGGGGGCGGCCATGTTGCCAGGCACATAAGGGAGCAAGGAAAAGATGGTGGGAATCCCCACTTTGAGTGGACCCAGTTTCTAATGGCCCCCATTTGCATATCAAAGGTTGTGGGTCTGACTCCAAGAGCCGGGGCTTTCCTGCTAGACAAGAAACATTTTTTGGAGCTGCTTTAAAAGGAACAAAAACTTCCCAAGGACCCTTTTCCTATCTGCCTAAAATAATTTTTAATAACTTTTATAACACGAGAAAATGAATTCTGTTAAACAGAAAGGCCCTTGGTCCTTGGGGCGCTACAGTGGGTACATGATGGCCTGTGGAACACCATGCAATGGAGGGAGATGCAGGGTGCTCTTGGGAAAGTCCAGGAGGGATGAGGAAAGACTGTGGAAAGCCTGGGCCTGTGCCCTCTTCACCTGGCATGGATCTCCTCTGCTACTCTCACTCATCCCTGCAGTGCTGCTGTAGATTCTGTGTGATTGTATTGGGTGTTACTGGCTTGATGTCCAACTAGGTTGCATTAAACTCTTTAAGTGATTCTGGCATCTAAGCTTTGTGGATCCAGCCAGCACAGATGGAGCCTTCCTCCTCCCAGGTCTTGAGGATGCACAGACACCCTCTGGGCCACCTCACTCAACACCAAACCCTCCACAGTCCTTCCTCACCTGCCCCAAGCTATTACTGCCCATCTCTTCTTCTCTGCAAGAGCCTGAGACATTTCTTAGTTTCTTGCTCTTTCTTGATATCACAAGAGAAGTGAGATGTCTTATGAATTCTTCTTCCTCAAAATTTCTGAAACCCTTGAAACACACAAGCCTCCACCCACTCACATGCCCACATACACACCTACACACACCTGCACACACCTGCCCAGACAACCCTGATGGGACCTGATCACCCCCACGAGGGTGCTTACAAAACCTTGAGGACACTGGGAAGGAGCTAGGAAGGAGGACAGCGTAGGCATGGAGCTCCTGAGGAGGCAGGGTGGCTTCTCAGGACAGAAAATGGCAAACTCTCAGTCTTCCTGCCCTGCCCATGCTCAGCTGAACAAAACCACACCAGCTGGTCTCACTTAAATTCAGGATTACCATCCAGGGGGCAGGGGAGGGGGAGCTCTTCATGCTGCCAGAACCCCAAATGAAACTTCCCAGTCGCTAGGAAGAACTCTGCCCTTCCTGAGAAGCTACATCGCACCTCTTCACTTCCCTCACACCTCCACTTCCCCTGCACCCCATTCCCATGCCCCACTTCCACCTTAGGGACTCTTGCATAACCAGACACTATACAAACACGCACACCACAACCGCAGGCACAGACGCCAATGCACACACCCCTGACTTGCATCAAAGTCAACACCCAAATGGGCCAAAAGTTTCCAAGTGGAGGAGGAGGGGCAAAAGACAGGCATGGGTTGGAGGAGGGGCTTCTCCTTCCTGTTGTGATGGAGTAACTAGGATACCAGGACCAGGGTTAGCCTTCTACTTTAGAAGTGTAACACTGGACAAAAGGTATTAAAAATCTGTGTTCAGCTGTTGGAAAAGAGGATTCCTTCTATATGATCTCTCAGAGAAGGAAAACAAACATGGCAGATCCTATCATCACTGGACCTATCATAGGACTTAATGTTTCTGTTTTCCCAGGTGCTAATGTTTCAGAGCCCGGCTGTGGGTAGAGGGCACAAAGGATGAGTCCGGCGCCAGTGACCCTCTGAGAAGCATCCTTCTACTTCCACTCTATGCACGTCCCAGACTCATCTCCTCCTGGCCAGCCCTGGGTCTGGTGCCTGTCTGCATTCTCAGTACAGTGAAGGGGTTCAAGGAAGCCAAGTGGGACCACCCAAGAGAGAAAGGAGGCTGGGGACAGGACATTAGCTCAGGCACTTTGTGTCCCCTGAATCCCTCTCCATGTCAGCACCGTGATTTCACATAGATGCAGGGGTGCCAAGGAAAGCTCAGGGTCCTCAGGGTGACTCAGGCATTTCCTGAGCACCCTCTAGGCCTCCACTCCTGGCAGGACTTTCCCCTCCAGGGGAGGGCGTCCTACAATGTTTCCAGCCAGGTCTCCTTCCTGGCAGGAAGTAATTCAAGAATCATCAAGGCAGAATGCCAGTGGTTTCCACCTCTCCCTCTCCTCCTCACTGCCCTTCTCCCCAACCAGGAAAAACACAGGAAGAAAAGATGGACAGCAATGTCTGAATTCTAAGCATCAGGACTCAGTGGTGCCCGTATCTGCAGACTACACAGGGCACCCAGTCTTTACATCACCAAGTGAGGCCACCCAGTGTGTGTGCACAGCCTCATACCCGGCCGGATAGAACCAGAGATGCAAAGTAGAAAATGGAGTTGTACAAGGGAGATGATAATATTCCCTCACTCTCAGGATTATTATAAGGATTTATTAGTCGGTATGTATGAAGCACTTGGGCAGATCACAGCATGTAGGTGTTTAGTCTACATGACTTAGTTTATCATTGAGGGTGCTGGTGGGCACCCCAGTAGCATTGGGACTCCCCATTTTTCAATCCCTGGACAACAGTGTCCCTTTGGCCTGGGACCCAGTCATGCCTGCTCATTTCATTCATGTGCTAAGGCTACCTCGTCCGAGAATTGCTTCAAGCCTATCCTGAGACGAGAAGCTTCCTGGCCTGTATGTCCTTAAAAAACTCTATGGGGTGATGGAGTGGAATCTACTCTCTCTTTGGAAGGGGCGAATCTCTAACCCACCATCATTCCCATTCCACTTGCCTTGCTGGTTTTCTAAGTTGATGCCAGTTTCTTCCTGATAAATGCCAAGTCCTGGTTTCCAGACAGATTCCTGAAGAACCGCCCAGAGGCTGAGATGGTGGTAGAATAGAAAGCCTCTTTGGTGGAATATGCGGCATTGGGAAGGGAACTGAATGTAAAGGGACTTGAAGGACTGTGTGCTTGAGTATTTGGGCTTCAGATAGAGACATAGCCATTTTCTTAGGAAAGTTACCTTGGAGATCTTCTCATATTTGGGCAGGCACATGTGGAGGGTGAGTTCAGGCTGAAAAATAGAATGATGAGACGTAGGTGGATTCACAGATGATGAACTCACAGTAGCAATGTTGAGCCCCAAAGAGGACAATGAGAAACACTTTAGAAGCATTAGGAAGGACCATGTTCTCTTTCCCAAGAGAGACGAGCTCCAGCCTAACTTATCCTCTTCTTGGCTGTGTAAACTTAGGTGTTGGAAACAGATGCTTGGTGCTGCAAAGAAAAATTAGCGCTGAGATAAAAGATCTTTCAGCAGTGCAATGTTTACTTCCTGGACTGCAGAAGGGTACTCTCGCTAGCCATCTTCCCACAAGAGTACAATGAACAAAGGAAAACGCACAAATGTATCCCTTACCCATTTGGGTCGTCCTTACTGCTGTGTCTGATCTCCGTTGGCTGGAGCCAGACCTCACAATCTAAACTAAAACCCAATTGGCTAACAACTTAAAACTTTTCTAAACAGGTAAAAATAATGGAGAGCCGGGACGTGTGTGTGAGCACATCCAGCACAGATATCTTGGTTAAAGTATAAGAATATAGAATGTACTATTTGTCTGTGAGCATGGCATGTCTAACAGTTACATAGGATAGGGCTTAATAAAAATTATTAGCAAACTTATGATTTAACAAGAAAGGAAACTTTAAAAAAGAACTTTACTACTTCCAACAATAGGTGCGCTCCTTGCTGTCTCTGAACCTGGCTCTGAGCTCTCTTCATCTGTAAAATTTGGGCACTGGAAGGCATTTTTCAGTCTGTATACCTAACCCCCAGCCCCCATGTGCCTGCAAGGAGCCCTTCAACCTCCATCCCTGGTCCTCCCTGTGACCCAGCACCCCTCCGAGCCTGTGGGGTGTGCTCCAGCCCTCTCTGTTCTGCTGACATCCTCAAAAGCAGAGCCTAGAGCCCAGGACTCTGAGTTCCAAGCACCATCATCATTATAGAACACACTTATGGGATACAGGAATCAATCAGAAATGCCATCGATCCAGAGATGAAAACTTACTACAGTTCCATTATTATCAATGTTGATAACCAAACTTTAAATGTTGGTGTTTTCTGGGTAAGAATACCAGTTTCTCAACACTGCTTGCTACACACAGCTCCTGGGTTTCCTCTCCCACACTCCCGCCATGTTTAATAACCACTCCTGTTCAACAGTCCCATTGGATACCATCCCTCATCTTCCAGGGCACAGCGGTACATTATTCAGATAAACGTATCTGGTAATATGCTCCTAGAAGGAACGCTGCACTCAGGATTGATGGCTCAGGGGGATTCCCAAAGCCTTCATCTTCAGTTTCCAAAAATGTTTGGCAGTCTATAGCAGTCATTTCTAGAATCATCTTGTTTAAATTGGCCTCCAGAGACTCAAAACTGTGAGGAATTGCCTTCCTAAAGCATTCTTGTAAAGTCTGTTGTTTTGACATTTGAATAATCAGAGTAAAACATGTGTGCTTTGTTTATTTTTAGCAACGCCTTCCTTTTCTTCATTCTTTTCATTGTCTTTATTACGTCTGACTCAAAGATGACTTATCTTGGATACGTACTTGATTTTGAGCTGTTTTATCTTGG